ATTTTTTTCAGTTGACCTAATCCTTCCAGCTACACTAGGCCCTGGGGTTTACTCAGCGTCTAACACAAATGAGTACCAGGAATTAATTAAATAATTTTCCTGGGGAGTAAAGCGTGCCCGGCGCATAAGGCTGACAGCCTTGCCGCCATCTTTGAGCCGATTGTCTAGATAGTGTGGGATACTCAATGTCTCACAACCCTATGGGCCTTCACGGCCTGTTGGAGGGATAGCTTTACTTCTAGACCAACCTCCTTACTTGCATCAATTAAAGTTTGTGTGCTTTTCTTTATGGTATCTACATTTGTATATTATCACCCAGTAGATTCACATCATTGCCATAGACCAACAGCTGATATGTCCCATTTAATTTCAGTCTCACCTTGTTTTCCTGGACATTCCTAATGGCATATTCTAAAGCAAAGTTATAAAGGAGTGGCGATAAAGCATCTTGTCTTAGACCATTCTGGATAGGAAATTTTTCAGACAAATGTATATCTATATGGACTTTACTATACGTTTCGTTTAAATACATTTTAATCAGCTTAACTAGTTTCATGGGTATCCCACATTCTATCAGAATATTGTACAGTACTTCCCTCCTAACTGAATCATAGGCTTTCTTGAAGTCTTTGAATAGCTGATGTACTGTCTCATTGTACTCCCATTTTTTTCTCCAATATCTGATGAATGCAAAAAATCTGATCAATCTCCCTCAGCCTGTGTTCCTCTCTTAATGTCAGAAACCAAGTTTCACACCCATACAGAACCACAGGTAAAATTATAGTTTTGTAAATTCCTATTTTTATCCTTTTGGACAGCAGACAAGAAGACAGAAGGTTCTGGACTGAATGGTAGCTAGCATTACCCGAGTTCAATCTCCTCTCAGTTTCCTCCTGAATCAGGTTTTGATTTACAACTTCTTTATTACAACCGTCACAACACAAATAATATGAATCAGTGCCTAATTTCGGCTCTGCTACATGTTTCAGCTATTAATAGCCATCATCAGGCAAATGCATGGTTAACATACTACTCTGTCCAAAAAGTATCCGACCTTGGGCCGGAGAGAAAAAGTGCTGTATCTGGTTGATTACAATACCTAATCACCTTCAAAGAAGGTCCCTTGTGACTCCTCACACTTATCCCAGCTGTCCTTCCATCGCTGGAATCAGTTCTGGATGGCTTCTTTTGGAATGGTGTGCAGCTGCGCCATCGCGTTCTGTATAATGTTCTCGCAGCTGTCAAAATGGCAGCCTTTTAGCAGTGTCTTCAATCTCGGGAACAGCCAGAAATCACAAGGAGCCATGTCAGGAGAGTAGGGTGCCTGGGAACCTGTGGAATGCCATGCTTGGGCAGGAAACCCTGGATGAGGTGCGATGAATGAGCTGGGGCGTTGTCATGATGCAGCTGTGAGTTGCGTGCGTCCCACAGCTCCGGTCTCTTGCGCCGAACTTCATCACGAAGATGGTGGAGGACTTCTTGGTAGTACTCCTTATTGACAGTCTGGCCTAGTGGTGCGTACTCATGCACAACACCCCGGTTATCGAAAAAAACAGTCAGTATCACCTTCACATTGCTCGGAACCTGTCGTGCTCTTTTGGGCCTCGGGGATGTTGGATGCTTCCATTGTGATGCCTGGACCTTAGTTTCCAGGTCATATCCGTACACCCATGACTCGTCACCAGTGATCACAGTCTTCAGGAACTCAGGATCCCTGTTGACGCACTCCAGCATGTCCTGCGCGACCTCAAGACAGAGTTGTTGCTGCTCCGGTGAAAGCAGCTTGGGCACAAATCTTGCCTCCACTCTTCGCATGCCCAGATCCTCAGTTAAGATTGTGTTTGCAGAACCTCTTCTGATCCCAACCACATCAGCAACTATACGGATGGCCAAACGACGGTCCTCCATAATCAGTGTCCACACTTTTTCAATGACATCAGCATTTTGGCTTGTTGACAGTCTCCCGGAACGCTGCTCACTGTCCGCCGATGTACGGCCATGTTTAAAGCAGTTGAACCACTCTTTAATTTGAGTGACCTCCATTACATCATTGCCGAAAGCCTGCTGAATTTTGCGAATTGTTTCCGCTTGGGTATCCCCAAGTTTCTGACGAAACTTAATGCAGTATCACTGCTCCAAGCATTTTGTCCTCTTGAGCGACACG